GAATCACTAGCAATTTCCTGAATGTACTGATCTTTATCATGCCTTTGCACAGTCCTTCATGCTTATACCTGGGAAACTTAGGAATTCTAAATAGAAATCATATAACAAGGCATATTCGTTATTATCAATCTCAATAGGACACTCAAAATTATTTAGCAAGGAAATGTTTCTATATCAAACTTGATCTCCCACTATTGGTGATTGCTATTTCCAGTTTTTCTCTCAAAGTTTCTCTCCTATACATTCCCATCTCCTGTGAGATGGGAATGTGTGTGTGTGTGTGTGTGTGTGTGTGTGTGTGTGTGTGATATATATAGGGTCTTGCATGATGCATCATTACCAAAGTAAAATTACTAAACATGAGCTCTCTCACTTTCCCATCACAAAACCTTGACCCATCCTTGGAACTGTGTTTATTTTCTCCAAAAGAGTTACGTTCTTTTACTTACTTTTTTCCTATCATCAGTATTTTCCTCTCTACAGGGTTATTTATATCAACCAATAAATATGCTCTGGTTTCTTGTGTCTCTAAAAAGGAAATTTCTTTTGACTTCCTAATGACTACAGAACTGACCCATTATTCTTCTGCTTTACAGAATTTGATGTTCTAAAGCTATTACCTATCTGAACTGTCTATTTACTCTTTAGATTATTTCAATTTGTCTCAACCTCTGTCACTCCAATGAAATCACTCTTCTCAACAACCTTCATGTTGTCGAACTTAAGAGTCTTCTGTCCTCATCATTTTCAATTTTTCAATTTTGTTCAACATTCTGGACCCCCTTTTAAGGACTTCTTTCTCTTGCTTCATTTACACTTATTTCTCTTGCCACTCATGAGAATGATAAAATAGCTTCTTAAATTTCATCACACCATGAAATAGCATAGATTTTTGGACTAGGTCACAGATTCTAGTTCACTGCCATCACCATGGTCCAAGTCTCTGCCATCTTAAATCTAGACTACTTCAGTGCCCTTCTAACTAAAACCTCTGTTTCCTTCAATCTATTTATCTAAAGTATAAAGCATGATGTACTGAAAACACAAATTGAATCTGTTCCTTCTCTCACAACTCTTTATAGCTTTCCCTAATAGATAGGTAACCTAATGAGGAGTCTGATAGGCTACAATCCATAAGGTTGCAACAAATCAGACACAACTTAGCGACAGAACAACAACAAGAAGAAAGCTGACTGAGTGAAGCAGCCTAGGTGTGATCACTGTGAACCAGAGAGCTTGTTCTGCCTAAAGGGAACACACGTTAATAGTTTCCAGTAGATGCTGCAGCAAAGGCACAATTAGTTTTAGCTGCCAAATCTAAAAATGAAATACAAAAATGTGTGAGTGATTGTATCAGTGTGTGTGTGTGTAAAATCTCCTGATGTTCAAATGTTGACTCTCATATTTCAAAAAACACTGTGTGTTTTTGTTTCACCCTAGATAATATACATGTTTCAATTGGGTGCATGAGACAAGTGCTCAGGCCTGGTGCACTGGGAAGACCCAGAGGGATCAGGTGGAGAGGGAGGTGGGAGGGGGGACCGGGTGGGGAATACATGTAAATCCATAGCTAATTCATTTCAATGTATGACCAAAACTACTGTAATGATGTAAAGTAATTAGCCTCCAACTAATAAAAAAAAAATGGAAAAAAAAAAAAACACTGTGTGTTTAATATGAAACATATCTTCACACCAGATTAGGTAGAATGGCTGCCAATTTGCTTTCTCTGCATAAGAGACTGGTTTCTCCAGTGAACCAGTGAAGTTGCTCAGTCATGTCCAACTCTTTGCAATTCCATGGACTGTAGCATACCAGGTTCCTCCATCCATGGAATTTTCCAGGGAAGAGTACTGGATTAGGCTGCCATTTCCTTCTCCAGGGCATCCTCCCAAGCCAGGGATCGAACCCAGATCTCCCACATTGCAGGCAGACACTTTATCGTCTGAGCTACCGAGGAAGCCCCCCATAAACTTCATTCTACCACTTTTCTATTGCATTCTGTGTTTTTCTCTAATTTACATTCTATTACTTAGACTCTCTGATCTTCTTCATTTTCCTGAAATAGCTCATCAAGCTCTTTATCAGTGTGAGGCTCTTCCTTTTCTGAAGAATAGAGGCATAAAATTCTTCTGGTATCAATAAAAGTGGGACCTTCTTACATGAGGTGGGTTCCTATCCTGACAATTTTATCCTCAAATTTTTACTTCACAGTACTTTTCTTTTTTTGAAAAAAATCAGATTCATTTAATTATAGTCTTTTTTCACCATTAAATTTGTAGTACTATGTGGGACATGTACTGTGTCTGTGTTATGTGTGTTATTTGTTCCTAGTTCAAAGCCAGGCACATAACAGGCAAGTAAAACAAGTAAATAATGAATGTATAAATATATAAATGGTCTCTGGACTTCATTTCACTACATCCAGATTCTAATCACACTTTATCACGTAGGTCAACATTTGCCTCTGTGAACCTCATCTAGTTGCCAAAAATACCATAACTGTTCTGTCTCCATAGCATTTTTAAATATTCTTTAATTATAAGAGTAAATCTTAGCCTGATTGTAAGCTCCTTGATGCTTAACATCTATCAGGGTGCCTAAAACATGACTGTAAGATAATCTGATGATTTGAAATTTACTAAAAGGTAAATTAACTCACTATATTACTATTACTAATAGTAATAAGCCTATTTCCAATAAACCCCATATTTTTTAAAAAAGTGAGACCAAATAGATACTAACATCAATAATAATTATTTCAATTTATCTTTTCATACTATAATAGCAGCTGGAACCAAATGCTTGTGAATCTTAGGTTTACTATCATGTTTACATTATCTCATGCAATCTTCCCCTCAATCCTGTGAAACAGGTATTACCATTTTTAGATCTGAGGAAAACATCCTCAGAGAAGACAATATATTGATGGTTGATTGTAAGAATGGGATCTGAATGAAGTTTGTTTGGTTTCAAAGCATAATGTAACACAGTGATTAAAGGGTCAAGATATACAATCAGGAAGTAATGAATTCAAATGCCAGTTCCATAAAATTATTAGCTGGATAAGCAGACTTTCAGTTTTATTATTTGTAAGTGAAAATAAAAGCATTAGTTGCTCAGTTGTGTCTGACTCTTTTTGACCCATGGACTGTAACACTCTAGGCTCTTCTTTCCATGGAATTCTCCAGGCAAAAATACTGGAGTGGGTAGCCATTCCCTTTTCCAAGGGATCTTTCTGACCCAGAGATTGAACTGGGGTCTCCTGCATTGCAGGCAGATATTTTACCATCTGAGCCAAAGTGGGAATAAAATAACAAACAGGTTTTTTATTATAGGTTTTATTATTATAGGGTTTTTATTAAATAAAGAATACATGTACAAATACCAGGTAAATTGATGACACTTTGCAGTCTATAAAATATCACTTTTAACTACTGCGGTTGAGATTTAGTTGATTTTTAATATACTCAGTTTATTAAGCTCTAACTCTGACCAGATTCCGGGTCTTTTGAATTTCTTTTTAATGTGATTTTTCAAACAATATTATCCATATTAATTATCAGGCTAGTTAAAGAAAGTTCTGCAATTTTTTTTAGAAAATTACAGTTCTATTCATATTGACCTAATATTGTTTTCCCCTCCAAGAATATCGAAACATAATTCTAAGTCAAATGATCCATGGAGACAAAATATTCATAGGTTTTTCTTATAAGAACTACCTTTTTAGTCATGGGGAATTTCTTCAGCATGTCATTTGTCCTTTGTACAAACAGCATAAAGAAGTAAACAATGTAAATGTATGGTATGTGAAACTATAACCATTATCATTTTTAAATTTAATATATCATGAATATTTTGTGAAAACAGTATTTGTCAACTAAATTATCACTTAGCATTTTATAGGATTTTTGTATCTTTTATTTGTAAAATGTTACATTCAGAGGATTACTGAAAATTCAATATTTTAAAACAATATTGTGTCATGGTGTAAATTAATAGTTACCATAATATTGAGTGCACTATTCCTTTGACACATTTAACCATGAGTGCTCTGTGTGCTAAACCGCTTCAGTCGTGTATGACTCTCTGCAACCCCATGACCTGTAGCCCACCAGTCTCTTCTGTCCATGGGATTCTCCAAGGAAGAATACTGGAGTGGGTTACTGTGCCCTCCAACAGGAGATCTTTCCGAACCAAGGATGGAACACACGTCTTTATTTTTTCTGCATTGGCAGGCAGATTCTTTACCACCAGCACCACCTGGGAAGCCTAGTCTTATATTTTCTATGCTAAGTAAACTTAATTTCAATTTTTAAAATAAATACTAAATTTAATATGGAGATAAAACTTATTCAAGTTAAATTTTCTTCTAAATAAAATATTTATAGAGCATTTGCAGGAAGGTTTCACATGCAGTATCTCATTTGAAACAACATTCTATGTGATAAATTTGATTTACATGTTACAGAAGAGGAAACTCTGGCAGACAGGATTGAAAAACTTACCCAAGATCAGACAATTAATAAACATTAGAATATGAATTCCAACTCATGTATTTCAAATTGACTCTCATGATTTTTCACTTACTGTGCTGTGCTGTGCTTCGTTGCTCAGTTGTGTCCAACTGCTTATGACCCCATGGACTGCAGCCTGCCAGGCTCCTCTGTCCATGATGACTCTCCAGGCAAGAATACTGGAGTGGGTCGCCATGCCCTCCTCCAGGGAATCTTCCCAACCCAGGGATCCAATCCATTTCTCCCATATAGCACATGACAATAAAGTAATCATTTAAACTCCAAAAAGTTCCCTAGTAAATTTGATGTTATTTAATTAGTCATTTTAAAATAATAAAATATTATTAATCACAATACATCAGTGAAATCTAGCTGCCACACTTTTAAGTCACCATGTCTTCATCTTCATATTATTAATTTGAAATTTAAGTTAAAATGAACTTTAACAAAGTTAATAATGAAATAGACAATTTAAAATCGTACCTAAAATCTGATCCAACTCTCTTCCCATTTTCTGGTTCTCCTGGATCTGGGCATAAATTGGAAGCTGTCTTAATACCTCCCTCATTTACTGAAACAACAGGAAAACAAGAAAAAAAAAGAAGCAAAACATGTATGATTAGAAAATCAAGAGTGATATTTATTTCAAATTGTACATAAAATATATTCTTGTATTTTATTATTCTAATCACTATAATTTATACATAGAAAGTTAAATATAACTTTATAAACCAATAAGAGCAAAAACACTTTTTAATGTCTGAATATATAAAACATAACTCTCATGTTTGTATTCATTCACATACTACTTTGAATATTAACACATTAATTGTTAACACTTTATTTTTAATTACTATCAAATTGTGAAATCTATGGTAATGCACTCCCTAGGTATCATTGCCAGAGTTTCCATTAATTATTGGCAGCAGAGAAGTCACTACCAGTTACAGCAGTGTCATCAGATACTTGTTATTTTTAAAGCTGCAACATAAAAATAAGACTTTATGGGAAAAGTTTAAGGATAATGGCACTTTTTAACTGGTATATAACAAGGAATTTATTCTACCAATGTGAAAATACAACTGTGGTGCAAATTATCAAGCATGTCATTGAATTATGCTATAATGCTGAAAATCAAATAAGGGCTTTACCCTTTAACAAGTCCTATGACTATCTTTTAGTTAATCATTGTACACTTTCAGCAGTTTCTTCAGAACACCCTATTGATAAATTATGTATTCATGTTTTCAGTGAATGTGATCACAGTAAATAAATAACTACCTAGGAAATCTTTTTTTATGGAAAGATTATTAAACCACATGAAGACTGAAATATCTGAGTGACATTGTTTCACAAATTCAATCTCATAACAAATTGGAGAATAACTATTCTATTCTTCATCAACTTATCTGCTTTTTAAATAAAAGAATAGGACCTGAGTAGAGACTCTGGAGATGAAAAAATCTAAACTTTGCCATGGTTCTTGTCCTACACTGTGAATTGAAATCACCTATAGATATTTTTTTTTTCTGTTCAAAGAACAGATGCTTACTTTTCTGTCTAGATATTCTAATGCAATTACTCTGGGTAGATACTGTGAACCAGTTTGTTTTGTTGTTGTTTTCTTGCTTGTTTTTTAAAATAATCTTCCAGGGGATTCTAATGAAGAGTCAATGTTTAAAAACACTGGATCCCGGGGGAGGAGCCAAGATGGCGGAGAAATAGGATGGGGAGACCACTTTCTCCCCTACAAATTCATTGAAAGAACAATTCAACGCAGAGCAAACGTCACAAAACAACTTCTGATCACTAGCTGAGGACCTCAGGCGCCCAGAAAAGCAACCCATTGTCTTCGAAAGGAGGTAGGACAAAATACAAAAGATAAAAAGAGAGACAAAAGAGCTAGGGACGGAGAACCTGTCCCAGGAAGGGAGTCTAAATAGAGGAAGTTTCCAAACACCAGGATCCCTGCATCATTGAGCTTGGATTGTCAACTTATTCAAATTGACTTATCAGATAGCAAGATAAATATCAGATGATGGACCAACAGTCATAACTCTGATAAAGCTGTCATATTCTCAACTAGATATGAAATTTTGTGTTTGCCCTTTTATTCTACAAAAATCACTTTCTCAAATACCCTCAAATATATTCTTATTGCTCCCAACTTAATTATAAATTCACTAATTCATACAATACATGTGATTTTTTTTTTTTCCTTTTCTGGTTCTGCTGACTTGCTAATTTATTTTTACCTCTCTAGTTTTTGCTATTATGTTTTCTTTTGGCCACTCTCTTACTTTTTAGCTTATATCATATACAGAGGGCAAATTTAAAGGCACTGACCCATGATTCTCAATATGCTGAATTTTCTTCATGACTTGAAAAATTCTCTCTTTGCTAAGGACTTCCAACCTAAGTTTGTATCTTTTTTTTTTTTTTTTCCCCCAAGCTCCTTCCTGATCCTTCAATGACCTACTAGGTCCCTACCAAAAATCTCCTAATAATTTAATGTGCATGCTCAAATCTCATGTAATCCTTGATTTTTTTTCTATTATCATTCTCTTCCAATTCAAATTGAGTGCTAGAAGAGAATTAAACTTTCTCAAACACAGCTTTCATTACTGTCCAAATATCCTATGATTCTAGATTTCTAAGCATATATATTATATCTCCCACTAGCCACCAAGATACATCTATAACTCAAGTCCAACAAATTCTTCATTCTTCTGAAATTAAGATACATCTGTAACCCAAGACCAACAAATTCTTCATTCTTTTGCAATTTTAATGGTTAGTCATGCTCCTTCTTTGCGTTATGCCTTCTCCAAGCCTTCATGTTTTCCTTATCTTCCTCTTTAGCTATCAAAATTCTACATATAATGTTCAGGACTCAGCTCAAGTCCCACTTTTTGCAAAATACAATCTCTCATTTCTTTCCAGATTTTCTAATCCTTCCTTTTTATATAACATGAACAATTCTATATTTAATTTTTAAGTTATCTTATCATGCTCTTTAATAGTTTCATATTCATTTGTTTTATTTACAAATATACACTTGATAAAGATAAAGAAAAAGCTATAATTACTTTAATAATCCTGCAGTACCCAGATGGGGGTTCATGATTTCTCTGTGAATATTTCCTAGTAATTTAATTAAAAACAATGTGTTATACACTGTTTACAATGAGTAGAATATTTTTTCTATGGAAAGTACTGTCTTTCCTATCTCTGACTTTGAAAATATCATAGTATATGTTATTAAAATGTGACTTTTTAACATGTAATAGACAAAAGAAAAAGTAGTGGCATGATATAGGCTTCTTAGTATATTAAATTTATAACAAAAATTATATGTAAATATAGAAATTATCTATGAATATATTTGAAAATAAAAAAGAAATGTCTCATTTTTCCATTTTATCATCATTATTGCCTAGTTTAATATAAATTTTAACAGCAGCTAACACTTACATAGTACTTACTATATGTCAGTAACTAATCAACACCTTTTACATGTATCAACTCATTTAATTTTTGCAAGAATCTGAAGGGTAGCTACTATTATTATACATTTCCTACAGGTAAGGAAACTGAGACATAGAGAGGTTAAAACATATTTCTAAAGTACTATTTCTACTTTCTGCCATGGTCTAGGTTTCAACCTTGGCAGACTGATTCAAGAAGTTCTACTCTTAACTCTTGAGCATTCCATTCTATACAGAAAGTTCAGAAGGGCAAAATGGCATCAATAATTAAAATTCAAAACACTTTTCCAAATATTTTATTTTTCTTCCATAGTGGCTCAGATAGTGAAGAATGCAAAGCATATTTATAATTTTCACCATGTTCACTTAATTAATCCCAGTTCTCAAGATTTAATTGTCAAATTACTTTTGTCTATTTGAAAAGTATCTTTCAAACTACTGTTTCTGGATATCTGCAATAGGTGAAAAAGTTCCCAATTTAAAATGTGAAGAAAATAGGAGAGCTTCTGCATGATATATGTATTTAAGGTTTTTTAGTTAAAGTATTTAAAACTAAAAAAAACAAAAAATATATCATCTATTTCTTCTTATATTTGCATGCATGCTAAGTCGCTTCCCTCCAGGCTCCTCTGTCCATGGGATTCTACAAAAAAGAATACTGAAGTGGGTTGCCATGCCCTCCTCCAGGGGATCTCCCGACCCAGGGATGGAACCCATTTCTCTTATGTCTCATGCCTTGACAGGTGGATCCTTTACCACTAGCACTACCTGGGAAACCTCTTTTAATAATCAAGTAGCAAAAAAATGCTGGTTTATTTCTTATATCATATTTCTTATATTACCTCTCTCTTATATTACCTCTCCTGCATTAGCAGGCAAGTTCTTTACCACTAGCACCACCTGAGAAGCCGTTCTGATATTTAGATACTAGATAATTTTCTGTAGCTAGTGATGTCAAGACACTCAAATGAAGTTTGTATCCATTCAATCACCTGTTTTCATTACATAATGCCACTCAAACAACTGGACAAATATGTATGACATTTACTTTTATCAGTTTGAATAATAACTTATAAAAAGAACATGCATGCTCTTTAAAAATTAACTACATGGACAGGGCCTTGTCTCTTGAAAAGAGCGTGACTATGGGAATATTCCTTTTGCTCTGATCTTAATGATAATAATACTGCTATTATTATAATTACTACTGCTACGACTAATACAATATGAATCCTTTTCCCCACATATAAGCGGGGAAAAAAACAGAGAGAAGAGCAGAATTTACAGAATTTTAAAAATAGGATGAATTATCATTTCATGTAACATTGAAGTATGTTTATTATATATGTATTTATAAAATACACTATAGGAATCTTTATGCACTATATTATAGTATGTTTTAGCTCGAAAACACTATAAAATTAGTCAATATCAGAATAAAATACTATTATTATAAGCAAGTTTTCTGAACCTTCTAATTTTATATAGTATATAACCTAAAGTAAAAAATAAGTAGATTCTGAAAGTCATCTGACTAAAAGTCATATCTGCATTACCTCATCCAGCTGGTGGCATCATACAGATTTTTATATTAGATTTAAATTTTTTATTCTACCTTATAAAAGAGAACGCTTTGGATCTTTTTCTTAATTCCAACATTATGGATGTTGTCAGAATGTCATTTAATAATAACTTTATATTCTGCAAAGAGTTACCTCTTATTTAACTTCCCAAGAAAATGTTGGATTCTTGCCAGCTGAGATTGTTCTTTTATTCACTCTTTTATATTATTAGTCTAGCATGGTGCTGCCATTGGGAAGTAGTTCAAACAGAATTGTGAAAGGAAGGTATAAAAAGAATGCATGAAAAGTATGGACTTGTAGAATATGATGTAGTTAAAAAAATTCATTCTGGAAAGCTCATGGTTTCTTTATAATTTCACCTCTTAAAAAGGTATAACAGTCTAGAAGAAAAGTTGGCTAGACTAAGTTCAATCAATTCAACATTTTAAAATATAAAAAAAATTTTATTTTATAAACTAAAAATATTTTTCCTTTATTTGCAAATCTATTATATTTGATAA